ACCTGATGATTTATACGTTTCTCCACATATTAATGAAACCAAGCAAAGGTATCGTTAGTCTTGTACCAGTGATGGTGCAAACAATGGATGATAATCTCTGGATACTACGTAAAATTCTTCAAATAGAAGATTTCGAAGTGAGGATAGTTCACTATAATTTTCTTTTGACGTGAAAAGAGAAAGAATAGCATTTTTCATCTACTTTATCAAACCTACAACGTGACAGGAAAAATGGAAGAGTTTTCGGCAGAAACAATTATTTTAAATCGAAGCATGTTTTAAATAAGCAGATTCAACCACTAAAAATTTTTCTGCAGAATCCAAAAAACTTTCTCAAATATGAATAAATGGTTTATAATGAAAATTTAAAATGCTCGTTTGTAATTTGAGTCATCATTCATAAATTTATTCATGCTTTTATGGTTTATAATGATTACTTAACAATAATAATCAGCCAGGACAGAGTTTAAATATTAATTTGTTTTGTTTCCGTCTCTAACTAAAATAATTTTTTGGGTAGATATTTCACTTCCCCTATTATTATTTTCATAGTTCAAATTAGTTTGCTCTGTTTTTCGCCTCAGAAAAGATGTTCATTACAAATTTCAAAAACATGCCAGTTTGATGGCGAGATCAATGTTCATCAGTGTTTGAAATGCAGGAGTATGCAAAGTATACTTTAATTTTTAAATTCTTGGATATCTTATATGGTTAGGTTGTTAAAATAAATTCGGTGAATATCTTCACTGTAAATAATTTTAAATTCCGTGAGTAGATCAGAATCATATGATTGGTACATAAATGTGTGCAAAGTTAAGATGCTGAAGTTTTGAGAACTAAGGAAGGAATGTGAGTTCAGGAGCATGTAACGGACAAAGAGCTTGTATGGACGTATGTACAAAAAGCTTGTCTACGTGTATGAATGGATGGAAAGATAGAGAGTTTGTGAGTAAATATCTTGTGTAAGCATGTAAGTACGTGAGAATCAAATACTGAGAGGTTGAAAAGATGGTGTTACAGTTTGTGTTACTGCGAATGTAGAAACAATTATTTTGGGTGGTCCGTTTAATGGAATGTTAGTGTTGGTTCGTACATTTGTGCGGCGCTGTGTGTGGTCCTATCTGGAGTTCTTTCATTTATGTGCTTGTGTGTCTGTACTTGAGTTTATGATGTGTGTGCCTCTGTATGTGTAGATGACACAATGTAACCTCTAAGGGTTTTGGATTGTAGCTATGTCTATGTGGCCCATTGTGTGTTCAACGTTTAGCTCTATTAATTATATGTGTTCCTTATTACAAGTGGAATTTTACTTGGACAATTTTTGCGAACATTTTAATGCAAACTCATTCTATCCTGTTTTGTTCATACGCATTCGTAAATATCATATCAAATTTACTCATGTCATGAACGTTTCTATCTTCACTTCTGTGCATCAAAAAGATCAAGATAATTTACCATGACTGTGAAAAATTCCGCTAGTGGGAATCACTATTTCATTTTTATTCACTTTCTGGCCGTTATTTTTTAAAATAAAAGTCTTACATCATTTTTTAAATTTGCGATCTTTGTTACTTTGGCATTGATCGGAACTGGTCTTTATTACTTTGACGCTAGTTGAATAAGTTTAAGTCATTTTGATACTGGTCGGGATTGGCTTATATAACTTTGAGGATGGTCAGATTGGATTGGTTCATGTCACTCTGATGACAGTCAAAATTGTTTCATTACTTAACGACGAGATTAATAGAGTGGTGTGCTAGTAAATTTATACTTTGTAAAACCGTATTTGTTGCGTTGATTGGCTCCCTTATATCATGGACTTTGAATTATTGCTATGTTTATGTGGCCAATTGTGTGTTCAGCTATTCATGTGGGACGTTTGCGTTTAGCTCTGTTTGTTGCATCTGTTATTCCGTCTTACATGTGGCATTTTACTTGAACAGTTTTCGCGGACACGTTTAAGACATCCTATGCTGTTTTGTTCATACGTATTCGCAAATGTATGTCAGTTTACTTCATGCGCTTGTTTCGTACTTTTCACTTCCTTGCATCAAAGGAATCAAGATAATCTGCTATGAATGTGACAGATTCCCACAAGTGGGAGTCATTTATGTGCTGTTTGGGAGTCATTGTATGCTTTCTGGCCATTATTGGGTGTTTATAAAATTTCATCATCATTTTTTCTACACTTGCGGTCTTTGTCACTTTGACACTGGTCGGGATTGGTCGTTGTTACTTTGACGTTGTTAGGATAGGTTTATGTCATTATGATACTGACCGGCATTGACTTATGTTACTTTGACAATGGTGGGTTGGATTGGTTTATATTACTTTGATGGCAATAAAAATTGTTTTGCTACATAACGGCGGGGTTGATGCAATGGTATGCTGGTAAATTTATACTTGTAAGGCTATATTTATCGCATTAATCGGCAATCGAGAGTGGAAGGCACATTGTTGTTCGGAACCAAATAATGAATTAACAACAAAACCAGTTTGCATGATGTAATGTTGAGCCATTCTGAAAGTAAGCAGAGGGAAACATCAGTATTTGCAGATGTTTCTATCAAAGACTTCACTCACTTTTAAAACTTTGATGTAAAAGTGATGAAAATGAACAGCCTGCGAAATCTTGCTTCGCAGTGTGTTACTCAGGTATGGTGTGGTTGTTAAATTCAATAGCTCGATTTGAAATTTGGGATATTGATTTCTGAAATATTGACAACCACATATAGATCACTATATTGATTGATCTGAGATAAATCGTGAAAATTGTGATCAAGCTGCTTTATCGTTGCTTTCATGTCCATGCACCTATAACGAGAAGTTTATTTATCAAAATCATGACTCATGAAATTTCAATTCCTTTCTTTTATTATTACCGTACAAATCACAAAATTGCTATAGTGAAGTTAGCAAACACAAATCTGTGAAAATTTCTAATGATTTTTCTGAACATCAAGCTTTTCATGGCAGCTTCACCGAATGTTTGTTATGAGAATGTAGCTTCTGTGATCAGCTTCTTCTATAATGAATTGAAGACTAATAAGAGAAGTATTTGCTTATGATTGGAATCATTTCTCGTGTGATGTATTAAAAAAAGGGAGTACACATAGAAAGCTAATGTTGATCACATACTGGAAAAATATTACAACTTGAAAGCAAGAATTTTGTTTGTTTGTAGCATTATACTATATTCTGTTTTGTGTCTTGCTTGGTTTTCTTTACGCATTGTATGACCATTAATTGGATCATACAGAAAATATGAAAAGGTTATTTTATGTAGCTAAAAACAAATGGATTTAATTTTTCTGGTATTTTTTTAGCGTTTTTGCCAGAGATGTAACAGAATTTTTACGAAGTAGTGGCTCATTACATTAAACTAAAGGTCAGTAAAATACGGTGTACAGCAAAATCACAATAGTCTGGAATAGAACAACAAAGAAACAAGAAATGGTTTTGCACATTATAAATAAATGACACCCAAGTTACCGTAATGAACCATTACTTAGTTAAATTTTTGTTTGTAATAGAGCTTCTTTTCTAAATTCTGTCATGGAAAAGGTTGACTAGTTTCTACTTTTCTCAGTTCGATGACGGTGTTTATATTTTAATGGGAGGAACTTCTTACAATATGAAAGAAGTCAAATGCTTATAATGATGGATTTACTGGTAACTTTTAATAGCACAAATTCTCAAAAAATAAAAAGATAAAGGATGGAACTCATGCAGTAACAGCTTCAAGAATTTGATCAGAAGCAAGATTATACTGATTTCGATTTATCGTTTGCAAGTGGTTCATTTTTAACGATGCAGTTGGAAACCAGTCTTCACTTTTTCGAATGATTTTTAATTCTTGTACTTTTGTTGCAAGCTTTTAAAGATGAAGCTTTTGTGGAAGACATGAGATTCTTATTAGCCAGAAGAACTTGTTTTAACTCTATATATCTGATTTTGATCTGTTCGAAAAAACGTTTTGAGTATATTTGAAGTAGACAGTGCAGAAGATAGTGAAGTATTATGAGTAACTACACAACCTTAAGCGCACTACGGATTGACTGAGTGATGGTGTATGTTGTGCTTACATGAAACTCATTTGAAGACTGCTTGGAGTAGATTGTAGTTTTTAATGAAATCATTTTTCATTTTGCGATTACATGAATAAAGATGAAGAAATAGTCTATATGGATTCAGTTCTTAGTGTCTTCAATAAAGGAGGACAATTTTTAAAGTAATTACACATTTTATATACAAGCAGATCTTTATGTTTTTGCATTAATTGTAGAATGAAAAAATCTCTTCCATCATTAATCAATAATGAAGATGATATTGATGATAAGGTGACTGGAGGCATAGATCGACAACTTCAGTCCCCTCATTCAACCACTAATGATAAAGTTCCAGGATCTTCACCACGTCAGGTACTGGTTTAGATTTAGTTTGTAATAAATGATTGGTTAAGTATTTGAGTTTCTGTAGATGCACCAAAGTTATATCAAGTAGTTTTTCATGCTTGTTAAGAATTTTTGTTATTTGTCGAAATCAACTGGTAGCAGAAGTAAGCTGTCATCTTCTATTCGGAATAGATGAGTGTTTTGCACTTAAGAATAGATTAAGACAGAATTGCAGTACAACATATGCGCCTAGATAAAATAAATGAAGTGTTTGGAAATTGTATTAAAAGAAAGAAGTATGACAATGTTGAAAAAGTATATAGCAAGGAAGTAGTAGATTAAAAAAATCTTAGCTACTTATGAGTGCTAATGATAGCATTAGATAAAATCATCGCTGGCTTAGTAGTGCATCCGAGTTAGCAGTTCCAAAAATCTGGTAAATATGGTAGCAGTAAACTGCTTCTATTATATTTGTTCAAGGTGAACAATTGTTCTAGCAGTTGTCTTGAATAGATGAATAAACTCGTTTCGTGCTTCAAAAGGAGTTGATTTCGTTTTATTATTTTTATACCTTAAAAAAAAATGTCGTTACTATTTTTTTAACATTTCATGTTTTTGTTTCATTATTTTTTATTAAAATGTTCGAGGAGAATTTCCTTAGAATAATGAAAATTTCTGCTGATAACATGGTTGTTTTTGCATCATATTACAGATTTCCAAGATGAAAAAATCGCGTCACTTAGATTGTGACTCGTCTATGACATCTAAGGTTGAAACAACAGTTTCGAAAAAGGGGCGAAAACCAGCTTCATCATTAGCAGCAAAACCTCAGAAACGTGTTTACTCGCATTTTGAATATAGTGGTAGCAACACTGCATCATCTTCACGCAAAGAATGTAGTGATTTTGACGTGCTTTATTACGAAAGTTATGATCCCAATGCACCACCGTTTGATAGACAAACATGCAAGCTTAAATTTTCTGTAAGTTCAATTTCAGTTTTATTTTTTATAAATTTTCTTGTATTTGTTTCATTGAATAAACAACATTGATTTGATAACGATTTCTTATTATTTGTGAGCAACTTAAATGAAATAAAAGATCTGAAACACTCACAGACTTCAAAACTTTTTTGATTTTTTCAAGTATCGCGTACTACTGTACTATGTGTTTCCGTTAAATATAATTTTTTTTTTTAATTTAAACTTTTTTTGTTTTGTAATTACTATTTGCAGTGTACTGTTGGGGACTGTAAGATGATATTATCAAACAATGTTAGTTTTATCTTTCACTTGTGGGCACACTTATCAGAATTCAATTATTCTACCACTGGTTTTATGATAGAACGGGAACTGGATCAGTTGTATCGCTGTCCACAATGTCTTCGTATCTTTCCTACTCCATACGAAATGCAATTTCATTTTGGTAATGTGCATGGTCCAGATTTATCTGCACCCATATGCAGAATATGTGAAATTGTTATTAAAGAAGTATGTTTGAGCTTATTTTTTATTCTATGTTCAAACATACATTAGACCTTGAATACTTAAATTTTTGTCTACATATATTTTTTTTAATCCAAAAAGCTTATGAATAATTATTATTGTGTGAAAGAATTTGTTATGGCTTCCATTGGATTATCGAACAGGACTGTATTATTTTATGACGAAATATTATATATTGAAGGGTTTAATCACTACTTGATTAGCAAAGATAGACTTTAGTACTTACATTATATTATAACTTAATTCTGTCCCTGTTATAAACGTTAACATATGTTGGAGGTTTTTTAAATTTTTATGGGCTTTGCACTGATATTAAAAATTTTCAACTATAACTTCATGATATTTCTATTATTTTCAGCCCGAACACTGGAAAATTCATCATAAATATGATATTCCATATCACTGTAGAAAATGCCGGTACAGGACGAGCATAAGAAATAATTTTATAGATCATTTCGTTCGATTTCATTCATATACTCGTATTTTATTATGCCCTTTTTGTTTAGCTTATTTTCGCGTATCCGATACGAATGCGTCTATAGTACGTGAAAGTGAATATGTCAAGCACTTTTTTCAGCACCAACGAGGTGAGAGAGATTTTTAAAATATTAATTTTGTGCTTCATTGATCTATCACTCAGCATATTTTCATTCTTTTTTTTTTGATTGCTCATTTATCTTATTAGTCGAAAAGCTAAAAATGTTGCTAAACCTTGTGCAAGCATTTTCTAGAGAGTTATCGCTGTAATCAGTGTTCGCTGAGATTCATAGATTTTTCTGATAAAATCGCACATAAAAAAGATCATATTGAACCAGATCCGAACTGGGTCACAGTAACTGCTAGATTACATACAAGACGAAAAGTAAGAATAATTTCCATGTGTTATAATTATATTCAACTATCGGTTATTTTCAGCGATCAAAAAATTTGAAAATTAGTTGGAGAATAGAGTGCTGCTCTTGAAATAAGGAATTTCCTCATGCTTAAAATTAAGACTTGAATCGTTACAACTTGTCTCGTATTTGATTTTCAAGAAAAATATATATTATTTCAGTTTTTCCTTAATTAGAATTAAACTACTGGACACATTATTTAAAAAAAAAATCTTTGCCAACAAAGATCTGAGCAGCAAGTTTTCAGCGTAGATGTAGCATGTTAGTGAATATTTTAGTTCATTATGTTTTTCAGGGTCGTTATGAACGGGAGGAACCCGCAGAGCGATGCTGCATTGAGTGTAAAGAACCGATAAATGATGTCTTGGCTCATTTTAAGGATAGATATAATTGTTCTTATTGTCATTATGAAACTTATTGTAGAAAAGCGTACGATCAGCATGTCTCGATTGATTGTAGAATAGAACGGAAAGGTTTAAACAGGTAAGCATATTATAACGTGTAAGAGTGAAGTATTAAACAAAACTTAAATTGTATGGTACATTCATGCTAAAAGGAATTTTTTTTTTTGCTCTATATTACAAATGATCACCAAAGATATCTTCAACCTTCTGTAGTTCCTGCTGACGGTAAGAAATATAACATCTTGCTAATTCGTTGAATTTTTTTTGTCTGTAGGTCACTTATTGTTTGTTTTTAATTTCAAATTACGTATTATTTATTAATTTAAGAATTTTGCATTCTTTTGGCATTAGTGAATGTATGTAATGTTATTATACAATTTCCATGTATATTAGCCATTGAATTTGATATTTGTATATTTGTATTCATCTTGTGCTATTGTTTAGTTGCTTATGATTCACAAAATTAGCATTTCATCCATTTCAGCAATCACTTATTAAAGGAAGTAGTTATTTGTGACAACTGTAATCGTGCCTCCTGCAATAGAGACATTTTAAATCATATACGAGAATGTAGTGGTGGTAGTTGTACTGTTGCCACTTTAAAGCAAGATGAAAAAACTCTTTTCAGCCACTTAAGTGATGAATTCGAAGTAAGTTAACTGCTGTTTATTAAATTACTAGCATAATAAAATTGAATAACCATAGTAAATAATTCTAAAGACTTCAAACTACTTTTAGTTAGTTCAAAATGTGATAAATAATTGACTAAAATTATATAGTTATTGGGGAAAAACTTTTATCTTTCAAAACCTGGTTAATGTCTTGCTTAACTTTCATGACGAAAAAAAAAAAAGAAAACAGTCTCCCTATTTACACTTTTACCATTTAAATTTAATATATCCGACAGGAATTATAATCATGAAATCATCGAATATCGATCAATTGCTTAGGGTTACATTATGCTTAATTTTTTCTACGAAAACAAAAAATTGAAATACTTAACAAAACGATTTCTGGTGCAGGTTAAGCATTTGAATTTACGTTTTTTGCAGGCGAAGCTTTTTGCACTCCGTCCAGCAAGTCATTACAGCGATTTAGATGATAAGAGCTTTTCTCGTTCGCACAATATAGTTCCACCCGATTCCACTATATCGTTTTCTAAAGCTTATATGGAATTGTATCAAGCACATTACCGCTATGTGTAAGTTGTTAGTAGTATAGACTTTATATACTATTGAAAAGTAAAGTTATAAAAATTTAATACTTCCAGATTTATAAGGTAAGCAAAAAATTATAATAGGTTGCATTCATAATTTGTGTTATATGAATTAACGTCTCTTTTAAGTTGTAAAGTTATCTTTTTACTATCATTATCACAACTGTAACCGTCCAAACATTTCTTGTAGTATGAAAAAATGTGGTATTATAATAATTATGGTAAGAAAAGCAAATATTTTAATGAAAGTGATGTGCTATAAATTTTGCAGAAGAAGCACTTGCCCGATGCCTCCAATTCCTTTCGATAATATACTCAAACGTTTTGAGTAATTTGGCGTATTCATTTGAGCTCTTGAAATATTTGAAATATTATACAGTTGATCCCGCATAATTGTCTTACATCATTATCCTTTATTGGAAGCCAGTATTATTAGTTTTTTAGCTGTGTGCATAATTTGTTTGCTATAATTGTAATAAATAGAATTTATTTATGGTCTAAGGATCTGATATCACCAAGCTTGTAGTTTTTTTTTTGTTTACACTTTTTTAACTGGATAATGCAGAAAGCTCTAGATGAATAAGTAGAAAATTGGTCGATGAATGTATTTTTTTCTTGAACATCTATATCTAACACTCCGAGCATTGCATCTCGATTCATTATTTTCACATATCATATAATTTCACTTGTTGATCATTATATTTGTGCATAACTACCATTTGAGTTTATATTTACTTACAGTTATATGCCGTTTATTTGCTCCTTATTTTTATAAAACAGGTTTGTATTGAAGAGCTAAAGTATATCTTCTAGCATCATATCAGAAGGATATGACTAATCAGTGTATAATAGTCTTTGAAGTCATGCGAGTGTGACAACAGCTATCTGTTTCCATGGTTTTTCTTTTACTTAAATCGGTGGTTTTTTCGGTTCTAAAATTACTGTTCGTCTCATTTAATTTTTGTTTGCGTAATAGAAATCACATCGCTACTGATACATTAAGTTAATTAAATCATGAAAACAAACTAACTTGATAACAAATGAGTTAGTTCTGACAAGTCGCTTTTCAAGTATATTTTATACGCTCTAGTGGTAGCAATTAATTTTCTAGTAATGCAGAGATTTTTAGGTTAAGACACTGACATTATTCGACTCTTCAGTACTAAATTTTGTGCTTTTATGTTATTCTATCAATCTTTCATTCTATTACTACGAAATCGCTTCAGAGATTTAACAAATAACGTGTAAATTTTACTTTATTCACATTTGGCAAAATCGCATTTGCTCTAAGCTACTTTGTGAGTTTTTGTATTAACTTCAGTCTTTGATATGGATGTGAAATCGCATTTTTTAAATATGATAATTAGTCGAGAAGTTCGTACAAGACATATATAATATAAATATATTATATATATGCATGATTGGGATTGGATTTTGAAAGATATTTTTAATTTATTAATATTTAGAACTACTAACTTTAGTTTCTCAATTATTAAAAACTTTAGTTTCTCAATTATTAACTTTAGTTTCTCAATTATTATAACTAATATTTCTTTGCTATCATACAATTTATCTCGAGATTAAAATAATAATGATATACATACATATAATACAATTTTCATATTCCTATGATGTGTTCTTTCATACATTATGATTTTATGAATTTTGCGATTACTGTAGTAGGGATTGAAGCGTGCGCAAATCCTCTGATACATTTTTTCTGTTACTGGATATATATCGAGAACGATATCTTTGCTTGGTTTCATTAATATGTGGAGAAACGTATAAATCATCAGGTCGACCCACATGAACTAAAGTTATTAAAGGAGTAAACTTCAAGCTTTCTCAATTTTTTCACTTTCGTAATTTCATTTTTCGATTAGCAAAAAAATAAAAACTTTGGTTTTGTTTCGTTTTTAATCAGGTAAATTAGTAGTTTGATCCATTCAAAGTTAATTTGCAAACTAAATTGTTAAACTAATTTTTTTAAACACCCCAATAAACTTTATTTTCATTTCTCCAATAATGTACGACGAATTATCAGTCTTTAACTGGTTTTCTATGGCTAACAAAATTCCTTATACGGTTTACTGCAATTCCATATTATCAGTTAAGCACTGAAATTATGAAGGTCATAAAATTATAAAATATTGAAATATTCCAAAAATATATCATTTAAAGCTGGTATAAATTAGTTGGGACATAAATTACATTATAACATTTTTTTTACAATGTTTTTATTACCCTGCATTTGACATAATTTTAGATGATATATTCTACATTTACCTAACAAAATTGCAAGAATTTCTAAAATTATATTTGAACTAACACTATTACTCCTGTTATTCATTCCAAAAATGCAATTTGCGCTTCAAAAAACATTAGCAAATAATCAGTAAAAGATCAAAAGTTTCACTTTGACCGGTAATCTTGCAATTAAATATTCTTTTTAGAGAAAATTCTGGTGCAGAGTAGTATACTTCTAGTTGAAGAATCACTGAAATAAGCATTATTGGAAAAACAAATGCAAAAAAATTAAATCGGGTAGAAACAATTAACTGGAACTCTTGAAATATTAGAAAATTTTGAAAAACAAAAACCGTAAGAAAATCTTTGAACCAAGTATCATTCAAGGATTCTGCAAATTTGTTTGTTTTATTGACAAGACAAATCCAAAGAAACTATTATATTCATCACAAATAGCTGCAATACTGTACATTAATAGGGGATAAATATCAATCAGTCTATAATGGAGATCATCCACTGTTCGCGCCATCACTGGCATAAGACTCAATTAATTCTTTTAATTCAACACTGATTTGAAGACTGAATGAAATGTCATTATAAGTTTTTATGAACTTTGCTTCACAATGACCTACATCATTTTTTATCGTAAACACAGATTGAGAAAAGTAAAAAATACAGCAACAAATTACAGTGAAGAAACTAATCGAAATATAATCATCACTGAAAGCAAATTTGCTTTAACACCAAGGTGTGATATAATTTATGAAATTACAATTTGATGCAGTCGGAAATAAAATTTCATCTTAAAAATATGCTTTGCAACTGAATATGTTGAGTTTTATCGCAACTGAATTACAGCAATAGCTTTCACTTAACTATCCAAAAGTCTTTAAATAATCAAATTCTTTCCAGGTTACGTTTTGCATTTTACGCAAAATGACTTGTAAAGAAGAATTATAAAATACGTAAATTTTAACTTATATACAGCTTGCATGCAGCAAATTTGTTCACCTTTTGATACCACTCGATTTACTTCAAAAGGCAGTTAAATTCATGATATTAATCCAGCAAAGAAAGATTTTCACTACTGAAAGTTGTACAAAGGATGAAGAATTGAGAGTCATTCTCCAAGAAAATTATAGACTGAATAAAACTATATAGAAGATCCAAATAGAAATATGTATATTTGTGGCACGACTTCTGGTGTGAAGAAAAAGTTTTTGATTTTGTTTTTAGCTACAGATCTGCAGATTCGATTCATAAATATAGAGATTATTTATCTTTATTGTAATTAAAATTGGTTAACGTACTATACATTAAAGAGACACTGAAATTTCAGATGAATAATAACCTATAAAAGAAGCAACATAAGTACCGTAGTTATGCAACACCAGTAGGGTTTCGATAAAATGTTTGCTTAAGTCTGATCGTATTCAAATGTTTATTTATCTCTAATATATCAACAAAATATTGCAATATAACTAAATAACCAGAAGCTTATCAAATCCCCAAGCCAAATTGACGACAAATAGCTGTTTGTCCATTCATTTTTATTTCATCTATTTTCGACAAAAATTTTGCTGAATTGTGAACTGTACACTATGAATAGGCAATGCGTATCTTTACTAATTTCACTAATATATACTTTACAACACATTTATTCCAATTAAAAAACTTCATAATCCATTTGTTGATGATCTCAAAATATTATCAACCGACGATGATAGCATACAATCTACGATCGAAGAAGTTCAGAGGTTTATTTTACGTGATAGGACAAGAGGTAAGTTGAGAAAAGTCAGCCACTTGTATCGAAATGTGCATTGAATGGTTAGCGTTCTTGGAAGGAGCTCAAGAGTATAAATAAATACCTTGAAATATTTGAAGACAGGACTAGAGCATCCCATCCACCCGTAAAAGCAATAATACAACCCGAGCGGAGACTTTAGTAAAGATTGAACGACTAGCCAAAACTGCACTAAATGGTAAGAAATTTAATCAAGGCAGTGAATGAGCACGCCAAAAGTTTAATAAACTACTACATTCTGGAGATCAAACTGTTCTATCAAGCGCAGCATTAATGCAAATGATCAAATTAATTTATTTCAACAAGTTAGAATCAATCAAATATGATGTAAGCAATTTAAACAAATGAATTAAAGTTTGAGTTGAGAATGTTACTTAGTTAAATTCCTTGCTTATTTATTGTTTTTCAATATCCTATTTTTAAGCTTTCTGAAATACCGTCATTGCTATGTCACGTGAGAGAAATAAAATGAAAAGTGAAAAAATTAAGAATATCTCTTGTATATGAATACAAGAGCACTTTAATACATTAAATCTTGTAATTTTGGTAATATAATAGTAAAAATCAAATATCAAAAAGTAAACAAAGCCATACGAAACATTATAGAATAAAAAGTGTGCTACGTAAGCAACAAATGAATTAATTTTTATTTCTTCTTGCTGTCGATTTCAAAGTATGTCACCCTTTTTGTTGTCTGTTGTTCACATGTCGTTGTCGCTTTCAATATCTAAATAAGCAAAGTTTATGCGCCAGAAAGTATTCATTGATTTACATACGGATAAAGGTTACAAGTGAATGAAAATCAGACTCTAATGCAATAGTTACAGAAAATTATAAATTGAAAAACTCTAAAGTTTTAGCAGGCAATACATTAGCAATGAAAATCAAATTCACACTTCCAAAATACAATTTGCTCACATTTTTATGCAAAAGAC